ACAACACAATAGAGGAAATTGCCGAGGCACAAGAGCGAGCCCAGTTCATTAGACTTACACCAACGCGAGCCGCATGGTACATCCTCAAACGAACTGGTACACTAATTTCTGCGATAAACGATAACCAAAAAGAAATACCCAACGAACTGAAGAAAAATATCACAGGTATGCATGTTCCGTGGAATGTTTACCCATTCGAAATGTGAGCAGAAGGCAAGCCAGAACCAAAGCTCTGCTAGAAAAAGCTAAAATTGACGCTGATGAATGCTCGTTTGTCGACGCGGCTTTTCCGGCCAATAAACGAGCTTTCACAACAGTACCTGTTAGTGGTAAAGGCAGTGCCTCCTCTATTTTTCAAGTTCCTGGGCGAAGGGTTGGATTTCATTAGGAAGCGGCCGTCGGTGCTAGTGCTGCGTTTCGCCGCCAGGCACCGCAACTGGAGTAGAGATGCCACCACGTCGTGTCTCGCACAAACGAATGCTGCAGCTGCATTCGAAGTTGCTTTACGGCTCAATTTTTGGCTGTAATCGCATTGTTTAAGATATAATGAAAACTTGGAAGCGAGAACCGTGAAACACATGTTGTTCTGGAAACTTAGCTCATTTCAGAGGCATGTGTTGTTCGCGACAACTTGATCGAGGCGCGCGCAAGTCGTCACTAAGCCGATGCCAGATAACTAGTGCCACTAATCCGCAGAAGGTCGCTTTGTCTCCGGGGCATTCTCTTGAATGAGAGTTGTTTTGACTAACTGAAAGTCGATCTTTGAGAGAAGCCTTTGCTAGGAGCTGGTAATAAAAGCTTGTGTGCCTAATATGTTCCCCGATGCTGGTTACTCTCCATAGTGGCCTAGCCCTTTATGCGCAAGCCTGGAGTTCATGCACTAAATAGCACGAAATCTCACTAGACTGCTTCCAGGGATATAGGTCATCATCCGTTCCTATCGGAAAGCATTACATGTGTTGCCACCGAAAAAAAACCAAGTGCCAGAAAATGAGGAACTGTGCCACATGATTTCACCACTCGAGAACCTAAACAATAAAATCATCGTGAAATAAACAAGAATAGCTCGATATGCGGCGAGATTTCTGCGATCATTGCCTCTGTTTTGAACTGGCGCTCTTAAAGTCTCAGGTCTAGTGCTGACTCCCTACTTGAGCCAAGGTGACAGGCATCAAAAATTTGGCCTGTGGTGCTCGAGCTTGTCTGTGTATTTGTGAACGGATTGTTGTAGCCCTAATATTCGGCTGCTCAGCTCTGTCGATTTATTCTTCTTACTGGCCTCTTAATTTGGTAGCTAGCGAGCAAAGTAGAGCTCAGTAGGGTTGAGAGCTAAGCTAGTTGGTGAGACATCTTTTAACCATATGGTGTGGTAGCGCAAATTCACGGGGACGAAGCGGACAAGAAAACACGACACTCGCTACACTCGCAACTAATTTTTATTTCAGAAGTAGCACTTCATATATAGTAATATATATGAGAAGCCAGCTACCTCGAAGGACTAAATTGAGATCAGTGTTTGCATATGTCATACTCTCCTTTTTGTCGTTTCAAAATTTTGTGTCAAACACGTGTGAATTCCCGCAGAACTTTTTGATTCTTTTTGATTTGATGTTACCCAGGGCTGTTTTAGTTATGTCATCCTAACGTGTATAAGCGTAACTGCCGTGTACTATCGCTTGAGTCTGCGCAAAAGCTTCTGTTGGCAATGATTCAGTGTTCGTAGTTCTTTTCTGTGTCGCTAGGGTTATGGGTTATATATGAAGTGCTACTTCTGAAATAAAAATTAGTTGCGAGTGTAGCGAGTGTCGTGTTTTCTTGTCCTCTTCGTCCCCGTGAATTGGCGCTACTACACCATATGGTTAAAAGTAGAGCCTTTGTGGTGCCCATTGGCTCCCATTCAGCTTCGGTGCGTAGTGTTAGCGTTGCACACGGCAGTAATCGCGAGGCAACGTTGTTACTGAGAGACACCTTTGTTGACTGTTCAGATGCAGCGCACTACCGTTTATTGATACCAAATGCCTTGTTGCCAAACGTGACAGCTAGTCTTCCGTCACCACTACTTATAGTCTTTAAAATACTCGGGTTGTAAATTACGGTTACATATTATAGTGTAGTACGAAAATTTATTTGAAGACCAATTGTTCTGCCTGATTACTGCAAGCACGCTCTCCCCGAACACCAGCGGAAGCTGCGATTTCACGAAACTACAGCCGCACAGTCCATTAGGGCGCTAGCTTCAAATGCCTCATCAAAAGCCAAAATTGATCGCCGATGACGTCCGGCGTGGTGACCCTGAGTGATGCAAGAAATCAACCTTACGTGAAAATCCATCTCATGACATCCCATGTTATAAATATTTATGACGTATCGAAAGGTCACGTAATTTGACGGCATCATATAACATATTGGCTTGCTCAGAATGGGCTGATCATGAGGGCAGTGCATAACCAGCTGATAAGCAGAAAGCTAGATTTGTCTCCAATCCTCGAGGCAGTATATAAAAACCATGTTGGGTGCAGAAATATCTCGGCGGGAAGTAGGAAACATTCACTGCACTGAATCAGAAGAAAACAAGGATAGCTTTTGGCTTTCAGTCGACTCAGGTGAATTCTTTACCAAACCAGCGAGTTTTGTTTTTGTAACTAATGTGAAATGAAAAAGACAATCTGATCTTTTTTTCCGTCAGATATGCAAAGTTGATTGATTGATATGAGGAGTTTAACGTCCCAAAACCACCATATGATTATGAGAGACGCCGTAGTGGAGGGCTCCGGAAATTTCGACCACCTGGGGTTCTTTAACGTGCACCCAAATCTGAGCACACGGGCCTACAACAAGATATGCAAAGTGGCACACAGAAGTATTATATACTGAGGCATGCAAATAATCAGGTTGCGATAACTTGAAAGAGAAAACAAAACGCCATTGCTATGAAACTCGATTGTATATATCCAACAAGTAGCACGGCTGGACAGAGCCAGGGGAAAACAGAGCGCCGCTATGTTCGTGTAGCTTTTCATCCTACCTGTATCCGTAAAAGCCGTCGAGAGGCACGACTGCAAATGAACTCGCATGAAAACACGAATTCACGAGCTTCCTAATACACGCGGCCGTTCGGTGCCAGCATCCCGTAGTCTACCTGCGCAGCGCCATCATGCGGCAGCGGTGGGCAGAGGTGGAGCGCGTGCTTGACGGCCTGAAGAGAGCATTTGCTTGGACACTGAAAAAAAATAGAGGAGGTGCTGGTAAAGGTCAACTAGTCAACTCGATTTTCATCTATACCACAAAGTCAGAAATCGCTGAGCAAGTACCTATTCAATTGTTACTTTCGGACCCAAATAGATCGAGGATCCACCGCGACTCTAGGGCCGCCGGGCTAGCATTTGCCAAATGAGTTATCTCTAGACAGGTTCTGGCAATGCTCAAGAAAAAAGTAATCAAGCCACATGCCAATGTTTGGTTTCCTGTTCATATGGGAGAAATCAACGGTGCTAACGGTGCTACCGCGAACCTCAACAAATCTGCCCACAATGCGGCACGAGGACTTGTCAACCATGCAGCCACAAGGCAACAAATTGCTGAAGTTTCAGCATTCAAAGATCACCTCATTTCATGCAATGAGCTAACAAAACATTTCTATCTAGGACGCAAAGTCGCCCCCTCTACATAGTAAACAAAACAGAGGTTCAGTTCATTACACTTAGGCAATTACAAGCAAAAACTTATCTGAACCCGCTGTTAATTAAAAGTATTTATCTGGATTCGTAGGTTCTGACAACATGCGATAAATGCCACGACACCGTGTATCTCGCTCGCATGCTCCGGCATGGCTCCGCTTCACGCAGCAACTCGGGAAAAACTGAGGCACAATGGGACCCAGCTTCGTACACTACTACACTCGAGGGACAATTATGGGCAGTTCAACGGGCCGGCGAAGCGGCCGAAAGGGTAGCTCTCTTGGTCCCAACGTGGGAGCAGTCCGCTTCGGGCTAGGACACTAGAACCACCTATTGGACCCTAATAAATTTATTTCTCCATCTGTAACAATTAGTATATTTGGTCTGCACGTACCAGGTAATGTTCTAATACATTGTTGAAAAAAATAAAAGACTGAAATCTGGATTTTAGTGTGGAGATTTAATTATACTCTATCGGAATATTGAGTGTTGAGGAATTAGTTCAAATTGCCATTTTAACGTCTGCACTTATGCAGTCTAGTTTTTTTCAAAGAATTATGATTTGAGGTGTATGAAATTGAGGACAATGAGCAAAAACAAGGAGTCAGAGTCACTGATAAATGCATACACTTTGATTCTCTAGCCGGTAAACTGTAAACTTCTAAGAAGGTTTGAAATGTTAGGCTGCGGAATCGACAGAAGAGTAATTGCAAGCGCGCTTTCTGATGCATGACATTATTCGCTGCGAACCTTGGAAGTGGCAGGCATATGCGCAAGGATTCTTGCTCTAAAATTACTGGGGTACAGCCACAGGGATGTTTTCTTTGGCGTTCAGGACTATATCACTGCGACTAAAAGAATTTTTGCTAAACTCGGTGCTCATAAATGTTTTTCATTACTCGTAATTGACACTTCAAATCTGCAATGATTTACAATTATTAACAACTGGATGTATTTTTAACATTGTACTGTATTTTCGTGAAAGACTAACCTTCTACTTGGCAAATTTTCTTCAGTGGCAGTGTGCCATGTGCGGAGAAGAAGACGATGACGACGAAGGCTCGCTCGTGCGTTCGATCACGAGCCGCCGCGTCGCTTACCGTGCTACGATCTCAGAACCGCTTTACCAACCGGAGTGCATCCTTTCCGCGGTAGCAGCAGGATTTAGGCATCCCGGCAGCCTCGTACACCAGCACCATCCTTAACTCAAACAGGACTGCCACCGCCTTCATGGAAGGATCAATGGCAGACTTCGCTACGCCCGGCAGCGGCAGGACGTCGCGTGACACCGGCAACGTAAGCGCCAATTTCGCAGCCGCCGACATGACCGCTTTTAGCACGTTGGTGCTGACTACCGAACATCCTGCGGTCATTGCAACTGCCGGCATATACGCGAATTTCTCGGAAGCCTACAAGGTCCATAATGATAGCCAGGACGTCCTCACGCTGATTGAGAAATACGCTAGCCTGTGCGACAGTTACTTAACCAAAGTGAGAGAAGTTACCGAGTGTATAGTATCCCGCAAGGGTGAGCCGGTGTGGATGGAAGCCATGGCGTGCCATATATTGCTAACGGATGAGCGAAACACATGGAAGCTCATGAGTGTCCTCCTGCGTGACCGTCTCAAGGCGGAAGTGTTAACGGAAGAAGGAGGCAACAACACAATTTTGCTCGACAGAGCTCTTGAAGCTAGTGACAGGATAATAGTGGAAGCCAGCACGGCAAGGAACTCATTCGCACGGCAGGTGCAACTGGTGGTCGACTGGTTGGAAAGCTGCGCGGCCCATCAGTGTTGTATAGGCTATGGCGATGGTATGCTCGAGTACTTTGCTGAAGGACGCTGCACCTGGAAAAACACCCTGCAGCATGTGCAGTCCTGCGCCGACGTCAGTAAAGCACCGTCGTCTGACGTGACTGAATTGGACCCGGACGCATCCTCGAGGGAGCAGCTACTGACACGTGACCTGGACCGTGACGAAAAGTGCCACCTCTTTCACAGCGTATTCTTCCACCGGCGAGCAGGCAAACTGCAGCGGGCTCAGAAGCTGGCTGCGGACAACGGTCATTTTTGGCTAGCCGCCGCGCTCGGAGGATGGAAGCCCTACCTCGGCCTGAACAACGGCAGCATCATGGGCGCCGTCTCCACGCAACTCGTAGACGGCAATTTCTACCGGGACCTCTGGAAGTGCGCCTGCAGGGAATCTGCGACGAATACCAGGTGTTCCCTGTACGAGCGTGCCGTGTACGGTGCTCTGAGTGGCAACTTACAAGCAATGCTGCCCGCGTGTACCACATGGGAGGATAAGCCGTGGGCTCGCATGCGCGCTGTTATCGATGTGTGCTTGGAGCAGGAGCTCCAAACTGGCATGCAGCAGGCTACAAACTTGGAGCCGCTGCCACCAGGCTGCCCCAGTGAACATGAAACCTTTGAAGCTGTTTTCCGTGACCTGCAGACGGCAGCGGGCGTGAGTGAGTCGCGAGACCAGGAGATCAAGCACATCCTGCAGCGAGGTTTGGTGCTGAACGATGCTGTTTCCATGGTCGAAGAGATACTCGAATGGGTAACTGCTCAGGTGATTGAACCGCCGCTTCTCACCATGCGGTTTCTCGCTCATATGGTACTCTTACTACGACAAGTTGGCTGCGAGACCGCCACCGGGGCGTGCAGCGCTCTTGTTCGGACCTACTTAGACATGCTCATCGAGGATGGCCATGGCCCCTTGGTTGCCCCCTACGCAGCCACACAACCAGCAGCCGAGCAAGCCGCCATGTACAAAAAGCTTGCGAAGCCTCAAAACTAGAGACCTCGAAGAACAAAAGCTCTTCCTTGGTTTCGTACACTCTTCGAAAGAAAGTTAGCGAGCAGCTAATAAACGCTGTATTTACTAGCCTCCAGCGTATTTTATTGCACTTTATGCATACCTTTACACCACCGCAGCTAGTAAAGCTTGTACCTTTGTCACTTCTAACCAGGAAAGTTTTCTTAGCGTTTTAACTAACTATTATGCCACCTACGTTGCGAGTTTTTTTCATAGATGCTGCAGTATATCTGCCATAATCGTAATACTTTTCAGCTAAAGTTAGGCACAGACAGACAGAAAATGAACTTTATGTGATCCTGAAGAGCTTTCGTGAGAACCCCTATCGGGGACCCGCGGAAGCCGCTGGCCGCGTCCAAGTCGGGGCTCGGACACCGTGATGTTCCGTCCTTTCTTGTGCCCTCTGGATTGCCTGGATTTGTGTCTGGAGCGATGGGCTTAGGAGTGCCTCTTCCCAGTTGGCTTCGCTGGATAGAGGGCCATTAGGTAACGCGGGCATGGCCAAAGCATGTGCGCTAAGGAACTATAAATTTCATCACATTCTGGTCAACTTGAGTCAACGTCTGTGGAGTTACGACTGAGAAGGCCCCGCGAGGGGGGACGAGCCCGTCTGCAGCATTCTAAGTGTAATTGACTGAGACCTATATATCTTTGGGTGAGGAAGAGAATAGGCCCTTCTACTTATCCGATAGTGAGATGTGATTTCATTGAACGTAAGGAGTGGATCGTTATGCTGGATTTCATCCTGACCCCATAAGGCCTCCATGATGCCGCTGCGGCGCGTTAGAAGGAAGAATTTCTTTTTTTACTACCTTGGATAAGACGTTTCGCGTTTTGTAAAAACTCATTGGTACAAACTTGAAAGAAGACGAAAGAAGAGACACGGAAGTTCGCTTTTCCGTGTCTTTTTAATGGTGCGCAACACTGCAATAGGAAGTTACTTATAACAGATTGCGTTGTAGAATTCAACTAAATTATTTACATATAGTTGGTCTGAAAGCGTCACCATTATGTCTGGTTTGCGAAGAAATGGAAGCAATAGATATTTTTTCAATCTTTTGCCGATAGTCTATCAGCAGAAAAGATTCGTGGTTCCTAAAAAATAGAAATATTTAATTTTATTTTTTTGTTTAGAAGATACTGCAGGCTAAGAATAGCCCAGGCAGGAGTGGGGGTGGTACAGTATGAGAATATGAGCAAAAAAAGCAACTATACAGGAGGCAAAAACTAACAGGTAAATATACAACACATTATGGTACAAGATCTAAGTTACTTAAAAAATTTTTCAATACACCTTAACACGTTTCCAGATTCAAAATTGAGATGTGGTAGTTCGTTCCATTCTGTTAATGTGCGAGGAAAGAAAGAGTATTTGAAATTGTTAGTTTGAGCAAAGATAGGAGTGAAGTTTTGTGAATGATATCGTCTAATTGGACGCGAAGATAACAGAGAAAGAATATTTAATAGCTCAAGTACACTTTTTCTGCTGGATAGATAGAAAAGAAGCTTTAGTGTTGCAGTTTTCCTGCGACATTCCGGAGTTTGAATTTTGTTATCATGCATCAGTTCAGATGGGGAATCATATCGGCGAAATCGGTTAAAAATAAAGCGGACGGTTAACCTTTGGATTTTTTCTAGATGGTTAGTATCTGTTTTAGTATGCGGATCCCACACCTCACATGCATATTCCAAACCAGACCTGATTATTGTATTGTGAGCTAGAATTTTCGTACTGGGGCGAGAACTACTGAGTCTATGCCTTAGCATGCCTAATTTCCTACGTGCAGATGAACAAATCTTTTCAATGTGAAAAGACCAAGTTAGTTTGTTAGTGATTGTTACGCCAAGATATTTGTAACTTTCTGTTAGTAAATCTGGGGTCTCTATTATACTATACGGGTAAATAAATGGCTGTTTCCTGTTAGTCATGCGCATGAACATAGTTTTATCAGGGTTTACATTCATTCCCCAGCGGTCATAGCACGCAGATATGGTTTCGACAGATTTGTGCAGCGTTATCTGATCATTTAAAGAGTCGATTGAACGGAATAAAGTACAATCATCGGCAAATAAGCGGATTTCTACACCATGTTTAGCACATGTTGTAATATCATTAATATAAATAAGAACAAGCAAAGGCCCAAGGCAACACCGGAGTTAACAGGGAGAGGCTTAGAAAAACACCGTTTATGTCAACAAACTGTATACGTGAACTTAAAAATTACTACACCCCATTTAACAATTGTAGAGGGAAAACCTACCAGATTAAGCTTGTGAATTAGTTTGGAGTACGGTATTGAATCAAATGCCTTGCTGAAAACAAGGAAACTTACATGCTCGTGCGAGCATTGAACGCGTTATTCGAAGGCCGTAGGTTCGATTCCTGCTCACGGCTGGTTATTTTTTCATCCAATTTTCTTTTTTCCTATTTACATTCCAATGGTTCTAATAACTTCCCCTGTACATTCCTTGGCATTACTGTCTGTTAGATCTCATTATTATTGTGTAAAAACATAGAAAAACGAGCCCTTAGGTATACACTTCTCTCCCTTATATATATATATATATATATATATATATATATATATATATATATATATATATATATATAATATATATTATCTATATATGTATATATATATATATATATATATATTTCTTGAAGTCTTCCTGAATCCAGTCGAGTTATAAGTCACCAGAAGAAGCGAACGAGCAAACGAAAAACGATGCTTTATTGCCAACGTTACGGCCGGGAACCGGCCTTCGTCAGGGCACTCAACGAAGGTCGGTCAGGGACCGGCCTTCGTTGCCCTGAACGAGGCCGGTCCCCGGCCGTAACGTTGGCAATAAAGCATCGTTTTTCGTTTGCTCGTTCGCTTCTTCTGGTGACTATATATATATATATATATATAATATATATATATATATATATATATATATATATATATATAATATATATATATATATTATGATATATATATATATCAATCATGCGCTCAAAGTTGCGGGCGCATCGCATAGACCGAACGGCATAACATTGAATTCGTATAGGCAGTCCGGGGTTGCAAACGCCAGTTTTTTCTTTCGTGCTGGGGATTCGCCAATAGCCGGAACGCAAGTCGAAGCTCGAAAAGTATTCAGCACCCTGTAAGGAATCTAGGGCGTCGTCGATGCGTGGCATGGGGTATACGTCCTTTCTAGTGATCTTATTGAGTGCTCGGTAAGCGACACAAAATCGTACGGAACCGTCTTTTTTACGTACCAGAACGATGGGCGACGACCAAGGACTGGTTGAGGGTCGGATTATCTCCCGTTGGAACATATCGTCTACGTTTTCTTCAATGATTTTTCGTTTAGCTAGAGAGACGCGGTATGGACGGCGGTGCACAATGAATGTTCCGTCGGTCTGAATACGATGTGCTGTAGCAGTTGTCTCGCCCAGGGTGGATGAATGAACGTCAAAAGAGTTTGCATGCTTTTCCAACAAATCAAGCAGCTGCTGCTTCTGTGAGTCATTCAAGTCTTTGTTGATGGCTGCTGTAAAGGCCGAGGAAGCAGCATGATCTGCAGGATGGCCTTTAGAGGAGACAGGGGTAAGAGGCACAACGCACACAGGCTGCAGATCGGCAACGCAGGCGACAGTAGTGCCCCGTGGCACTATTATCTTGTGTGGTGTTGGTAGCAGCGAGGACGGTTGATCCATTGTTGAAGCGAGCCACACCTGATGCCAGAGCTATGCCTTTATTAATGCAACATGGTGACAGAGTGACCAAAATGTCACCAGAGTCAACGTCGTTGGACAAAACTGTCACTAATTGTTGTTCGTTTTGTGGTAACTCGATGTCTACTGCAGCGATGAGTCGAAGTGGCCTGTAGGTTTCGTCGTTGAGCAAGTGGTCCATGTTATTAGGATGGACGACACGTTGTGCACAGCAAATAGCCGCAGAAGCAGAGGAAAGAAAGTCCCAGCCTAAAATGAGTTCATGGGAGCACGGGGATAGCACAGCAAATTCTATATGATGAAGAATTTCGTCGATTAGTACACGGGCAGTACAGAGAGCGGAAGGGCGAATCATTGTTCCCTGGGCTGTAACCAGTGTCGGTCCATCATAAGGCGTCGTGACTTTTCGAAGACGGGCACACAAATCAGCACGAATAACAGAAAACGCAGCCCCAGTGTCCACCAAAGCATCAACGTCCACTCCCTCAACTGTGACCGCAATGATATTGTAGGGGCGCTCTGGAGGAATTCCTGTGTCCTGTGTTGGAATGCAGTTTGCCCTCCAAAAACTGCATCGCTTAGTTTTCCGGACGCCGATCAGAAGTAAGGGATGCAGGCTGAAGAGAAGAAGAAGAGCGCCGGTAAGGCGACGGTGAACGGCGTCGGGTTGATTGGTGACTACTGTGCAGTTCACCCAATGCCGGCGGAGATGGAGACCGACGCGGCGGTGACGAATAACGGCGGCCCTGGTACAAGGCTCCCGCGGTATAGTCCCGTTCGCGTATGTCATACCCTCGGCGCTCGTCTTGCTGGCGCTTGCGGCAAAAGCGTGCAATGTGACCATGATAGCCGCAATAATAGCACGTAGGCCGAGTCGATCGATGAGGAGGGTAGTATCATTTAACCATATGGTGTAGTAGCGCAATTTTCACGGGGACGAAGAGGACAAGAACACACGACACTGGCTACACTCGCAACTAGTGTAGTGAGTGTCGTGTGTTCTTGTCCTCTTCGTCCCCGTGAAAATTGCGCTACTACACCATATGGTTAAATGATGTCTCACCAACTAGCCCAGCTCTCAACCCTAGGAGGGTAGTAGCTTGCACTAACTGCACCATGAGAGAGAGAAGTCAGAGGGACAGGTGACGGCTCACGCGGTGGTGATGAAAAACTCGTGGGAAAGCTTGTGGGAGGTGCGGCAGCAACCGAAGCGTACGTTCGTGGCGGGGACGTCGAGCTGACGGTGCCTGGTGGTGCGGCG